GTGCTACTCTCGATCTACTTGTGAACATGCCTCGTGAAAAACTTTTATTATATTTATTTATCTTACCTAATCTAACCTTATATAACCTAATAAGTTTCTAATTTTTATGTTTTAGTAACTTTTATAAAAAAGAATACACGTAAAAAACAAGAAACACTGTACTCGTCTCGATCCCGTTTTTTTTTTGTTAACCATACTTTTTTATACTACTGGTATTATTATTATAAAACTAAATCATTTTTTATTTAATTAAATAATGCACTTAAAAACACAGAATAATAATATATAAAAAGCAGATAATGTCCTGTTCCTATTATAATTTTTCTAACTCTCTAACGATGCAATAAAAGCTGTTAAAAATTCAGCTACCCATCGATGTGTTTCTCATGGAAATAAAGTATGAACTGGAAGCAAAATAGACAATTCTTTGTACAGAAAACAACAAAATATAATACATCATTTAATAGATTAAGATTTTGGCTTCCTATTGGTTATAAATAATATAGTATTAAACATTAGAGAAAATTATTGGCAATTTGTGAAAAACAGAATGTGACAGGTGGGCAAGGTAAGTGGGTTTGAGCCAAGTTGGTCTGATTTTCTAGTTTATGGCTCTGTAAACAAATAAATTTTAAAGCTATATGAATTATGCTTTGCCTGAATAATAACTATATTATAATGAGTAATTTACATTAAATTCCTTACTTTTCAGAGAGAGGTGATAGATACATTAGAGAAGAGGTAAGACCCCAAGAGGAAATATCAAAATTCTCTAAGTTTATTTGTATATCATGAAAATAATTTGTTTAATTAAATTTTGATGTTACTCACTATAAAGTCGTGACATTTTCACTTTGACCTGCTAATAATTAGAAGGTAAAAGAGAATTGCAACAACTTAGATAACACAGACACTTTGCAGTCCACAGCTCTTTATCTCACGTTGAGTAAAATTTTATGCTTTCACTACAGAGTTGCAGTTCACCTATTGCATAGTTTAATCTAGCAGATAAAATATGTATGAAACTTAAACCTAAAATGCCAGTAAAAACAATGAGTTTTATTTCTTTCAAGTCATTAAATCATCTTTCAATCTCAAAACACTCATTAACTTACTTTCAAAAATTTCGAAGACAGAAAAGAAGTCGACAGCCCAAAGGTATTAAAAAAAAAAGGCCAGAAATTTAGAAATAAGAGAAAACAGAATAAAGAATAGAAGTGAAAAAACTAAAAATATAACTGGAAATTTAAAAAAGTGTTAGAGAAGTGTTAGTGTGAAATGAAAGATAAAGAGATTGATCAAATTCAACAATAGGAAACTGAAGAAGTCATGGATAGAACATAAGTATAATAAAGTTCTGTTAAGGCCATTAGTTTTGGACACAACTGTACAAGTTTCAAGATACAGTGAAATAAAGATTCCAAAAATATCACTGCTGTACATAACAAACAATACAAGCAAAATGAATTAACTTTTGGAAAAAGATAATAAAACTTGCATTCAAAACATATATATCTCCCATCTCCACTCCACCGTCCAGAACTTTCAACCGAGAGTTACTCAGTCACCACAATAATGACACTTATAGAACTAAATATAACAAGGGCTCCAGTTATAACATTCATATCACAAAGAGCTTTAAGTAATAAGTGCAACTACTTCTCAAGACACAAGTTTTATAAGACCAGTTCATTATTTATGGTCCATAGAAAAACATATACAAGTATTATAGGAAGCATATGTATATGTCAGGATAAGATTTTAAGCAAATGGATGAAGTGATGATTAACAGATAACAAATTTGTTACTCACCTAACAAGACCAACCATAATGACAGTGAGCAACTACTATAACCATTAAGAACAAGTATTAGTATATTTCTTTCCAATCACTTTAGAATCACATACCAAAAAGCAAACATTTGTCACCCCCATTATGTTTTAGAGTTTGCATTTTATTGAAAATCTTCACAATGACTGCAAGCCTATTAGCTTAGTTTGAAAGTGTTTATGCCATAATGTTTAATATGTAAAAAAAGTTTTTAATAAGTTTGTTGTATTATGCATATAACTTTTTCATTACAACTCTCTGTGAAAACTACATTTCCTTAACCCACAGCTATACCAATTAAAAACTTCTTAAACTGAAAAGAAGCAATGAGCTGATGCATTGCATTACAAACCAATGGAAATAAAAAATATTTTATCTACATGCATTTTTAAAAATAAATAATAAATTCTGGTTTTGTATCTCAGTTTCAGATGCATGTCATAGCTTATTTTGAACTCATAATATTCTTGATTATACTTCTAAGAAGTAATAATAACAAATGTTTGATTTTGCCTGACACTCATATTAACACTTTCCATACCAGGTTAGTAGATGTGACTGACCTCGTAACCAGAAAGTAACCCTCAGAGTTTCCATACTATAACTTTTAAAATGTTTTGTTTATCTTCAAAAAATCTGTCAAGCTTTCATGAAACATTACAAATTTTTGCACACAAAAAATCAGTTTTTTTTTAAGTATTTTTACAAAGATTTGACTGTGAATATATGGAGTCAGAGTGTTGACTGCTCCAAGTGCAAAGTGATTTTGTGTGTTAAAATTAAAAATACTTTTCTTCATCTAAACATTTTCAAATTTCATTTCCATAAACTCTAAAACCTCTTAAATAAATATGAAACATTTTTTCAGCAAAACTTTATATTTTAATATGTTATTTTCTCTACCCTAACTCTATAAGCAGCCTATCAATTTGCCCGACCTTGTAACCTCTATAAAACAAATACGAAATAAATCTAAATTACCTTTTTTTTCTTTCTAGAATGACTGCAGATTGTAACTGAAAACTACAATTGTTTATCTTAAATGGATTAAAATGTTATTGTTTTGTTGCCCTTTGAACAGTGTCTAACTAATAATCCTACCATTCAAGTTGTAAGTCACTAGGCAAATGCATAGCTCATGTTATTATGTTGAATGGCATAATACACTAGCTATTCACAAGCACACCTCATGAAGAATTTTCATTACTATTTTTTTTCATTATCTTACCTTATCTAATCTAACAAGTCTAAGTTTTACATTAGTTACTTTTATAACAACAAATAAAGAAATATACATGAAAAACAAGAAATATAGTACTTATATTTGATCTCTCGTTTTTTCGCTGTAGATTTCTGATGAAATTTAAGCTTACTTTTTATAATTATTGTATTAATACACTAAATAATTTTTATTTACTTAATGCATTTGAGAACACAAAGTAATAACATGCATAAAGCAAACAATGTTCTACAACTATCACAATTTAACTGGCACTTTAACTAAGAGAAGAGGGCTTAAATTTATTCCCTTAGCTGCTTAATCTGAACACTTTCAAACTGAAGTTAAAATTCACAATACTCTATAACGAACACAATGTAAGATTATACATCATTCAACAGATTAAGACTTTGCCTTTCTATTGGTTACAAAAGATATAGTATAAAGTATCAGAGAGAATTATTGGCAATCTGTAAAAAAAAACGATAAGACAAGTGGGCATGGCAAATGGGTCTGATTTTCTAGTTTATGACTCCATAATGAAATAAAAATGAAGGCTATAAAAATTATACTTTGCCTTAGTAATATCTGTATTATATTGAGTAATTTACATTAAATACCATACTTCAGAGAGGGGCGGTAAATAAATTGTAGAAAGAGGAAGACCTAGAGAATAAATGTGACACAATCTCATGCTAGGGGAGACTGAGGATTCTTTTAAATTTTTCAGTATATAATACTAAAACTGAATTTATTAACTACATTTTCATGCCAAGTTGATTCATATACATTAATAATGAAGTAGTTTATTAAATGTATGAATGTAACTATAAAAGGGTATGACATTCATACTTTTACCTATCCTTTGCAAGAAGGTTAATATAACAGTAATTACACAGTAAAATATTTTAATAACATGTTCAAAAATTTCATAATCAGTGAGCTTGATAAAAAATCAGCAACCAAACAGATGAATGTTTAAAAAAAATTCATTTTTATCCTACCTATTAAATTAGGCAACTGATCAAATTTTAACTGTCAAATATACAAATATGAGTTCCTGAACAGAAAAATGTTAACTATTTAAGAATCAAATTGAAGCACTTCATCTAATAATTAATTATCATAGATAAATGTAGGGAAAAAATTGCCACTCACTTGTCTCATTTTTAAACTGGTCTCTCCATCCAAATTAGCAGTTTCAATGTAACACATTGCATGAGGTTCACTATATTTTAAAAATACAGAAGATTAAGAATCCTATTTAGAAAAAAGATTTATAGAAACAAATGTATACAAAACCATCTTTAAAAGTTTTAAACATAAAATCACAAAGTATTAAGTCTCCTGTTTATCTCCCACAAACAATAAGCTATTAGATGCATTAGGCTGTGTAAAATAACCATAATATTTCACAATATTGTCAGTATGTCAGCCAACTTTTTGTACACAAAGCCATTCTACGATCTGTATGTTGAGCATATAATCTAACATTTACCATTCATATAACTGGCACCCAAAGTTATTTTTAGGAATCAACCAAGCATAGTTTAAAACTTCAATATGCTTAAGAAATGAGCATAATATAAAATTAAAACCATATCTGTTATTATTTTATAACAGCTTACATAGATATAAAAAACAAAAAAATGCTCTAGTCCATCTTGAGTAAATAGGTTTAGCAGTATGTAGCAATATGCAAAATTACAGTTGAATAATAAATACAGCAATAATAAATGTAATTTCATTACACATTTAAATTTATATGTGAAAAATATATCACATGATAACATATAAACACTCTAAACATGAAACAGGCCTAGTATTGTCAAGAAGCTTCATGCCCTACTCTTGTTAACTGCACTCTTGCTTTTGACACTATCAAACAATGCACTTAAGACAAATCCATACTATAATTCCATTATGATTACCACAAGTACCTTCATTGTATTTTACATTCACTGAAGAGTTTTAATTTGGTTAAATTTTTCTTTTGCAAATAACAAACAAAAATCCAGAGGAGGTTTTATTTTAATGAACATTCTCCTGCTTGTGAGCTTACTTAATAATGACAGTCAAGATAGATGGTGGCTTTCAATTCTTCATACATTACAATCAGAATTACAAAACTGTTATTTGTAAGTAAACTTTCATATACAAATATCCTCTTTCTTTTTGTGAGCATTTGAAAATCATGTAAAGTGCAAAATTAAGGGATGGAAAAGTTACAATAATGTTTTATTTTCTATTTTACAATTTGAGCCTAACACAGACATATATTATATGTGCTTGTCAAGAGTACAATATATCAGGTAGTCTGAGTAAAACCACCACTTGGGCCTGTCGAGACAAACTTCATTCTGGTGATGAGAGATAAAATAGATATGAATGGAAAAGTAACTCTCCAAGTATATCTAAGACACTGTTCACAGAACAAAGACAATCACTGCCAACATTGGTTCTGGCATGAGCATCTTTGAGATGGATGTACTGTAGAGCTTATAAGTCAGTTTTGCCTGTGCAACAGGTAAACTGATGTTCCGCGAGAGAGTTATCCAATGAATCAAACGGGGGCCCAGGAACAGTGGCCTGCATAAGTATATATGGGAGAGAAAATCACAATACCCCCAAAATACTCAGGTAGTGTTCTGTGGTTCAGTACAGATAAATTTAGTGTGTCACTAACATACTTGCAAAGCTCATGCATGAAATAAGCTGTTTCCTATCCAGAAAACAAACAGCATTAAAATGGATATTTATCTGGCTGAGGAGGGAATGAAGTCCCAGTGTTGTTCTACAATTATGGATGATTGGTTATCCAGCTTCACATTGGAATTGTCACTTGCTATTGCCATTTCCAAGAGAATACATGGTTATCAACACATCTGAGATCACAAGTTAAAGACTGTGCAGCCAGTCTAGACTCAATGCAGCAATAGAAACTAAGAGACATGTTAAATAAATATGTCAATGTATTTGTGGGAACGAAATGGGATGAACAATAGTCACACTGCATCACATAAATACAGGTGATGCACATAGGTCAAACATCCACGTTGCAGGCTTCCCTATAGCACTAGGGATATAGCCAGTGCTGAGGTACAGCAGATGTTAAAGATGAGATAATACAACCTTTAGAAAGTGCTTGGTCATATCCAGTAGTGTTTATCAGAAAGAATGGAAGAATGCCCAGGTTCTATATTAACTTTATGAATGTAGTAGTTCATGTTAGTGCCTTTCCACTACCACAAACAGATGAATGTCTGGACTCATCTGAAGGGGCATGATGGTTCAATACTTCAGAATTGGCATCCAAAAACTGGCAATTCAAGCTAGATGACAAGAGCAGACCTAAGAGTTCTTTCAGTAATAGAAATGGCTTGTATGAAGTTTGCATCATGCCATTTGGTCTGTATTGTATAGCATGTTCACCACTTTTGCGAGGCTATTTGAGCTTACACTGAAAGGGCTGTGAAGGTAAAAATGCCTGATCTACGTCACAGAATTGTGATAGATATGTAATCTCCATGGGTTCTGCTAAAATAAAAGCTGTGCACAATTGGTTTAAGCCTGTGAACAAGCAAAAATCTGCAATTTCTTAGTTTTTGCATTGTATTTTTGAAAATTTGTGGCAAACCTCTCCAAGATTGCCACTTTATTATCAGCTCTCACTAACACTGACACACACTTCAGATGGAGTGAGGAATGTGAACAATAAATCCAGTCCATGAAGTAAAGTGTAGAAGATGCTCCAGCTTTGGCATATTCCCAAACAGGACTGCGAGTTTTTTTAGGGTACCGATGTCAGCAAGTGTAGAATTGGAGCAGTGTTATCACATTTACAGGACAAAGTAAACATGTAATTGCATATGCTAGTTGTACAATCATAACTCCTGAATGCAGTTACTGAACAATAAAGACATAACTGGTTGCAATTATCTTCGAAAGACCCTATTAACACTACATGAATGGTAAAAATTTCACTGTTTGAGTGAATCATGCAACACTGAAATGTTGATAAATTTAAAAACATCGATGTGATGTTAACATGCTAGATAACAGAACTCCAGAAGTATGATTAACTCATACAATATTGCCATGGGATCACAACACAGAAATACTGATGGATGTCTCATCACATTATTCATTCATTGAAAGTCCTGGACACTGTGAAGAAGATAAAACCATTTCTACCATAGTGAACAAAAGGCAACACAGTATGATATTCCACTAGTGGATGGATCTCGTGCTTGATCACTTCATACAGTGCAGTAAGGTAAGGCATGACATAATCAGATTGAGAAACATAGCATGAATGCATGCAACCTATGGCTCTTGTACTGGCAGTTACATGTGCAGAAATTGTGCTGTACCATTGTTATCAACCACTAAGGAGTAATTTTCAGCCTGTGCTAAAGTTAGTAGTCCCCAGTGTTCTGAGGGACAAAATTCTGTATATTTTGAATAACACAAAGGCTGGATAGCACCAAGGTGTTACCTGCACTTGTACCAACATTAAGTGACGTTTCAATTGCCACATGTGAAGCAAGATGTTCAGCCCTGATGTCAATATTATATGGTGTGTGCCACCCAGATAAAAACAAAACATCCTGAACAGAAGAAACTCCAGCAGTGAAATGTTGGTTCTCTCCTACAAACAGTAGTCCTGAATATCACTGGTCCATTCCCGGAGATGGTATGAGGACACCTGTATATTATTCAAGTTTATTGAATACTTCATAAAGTGAGCCAAAGTTTAACCATTTGTCAATATATCAGCACAGTTGGTGATTGATACACTGATGGAGTACTGGATAGCCCAGTTCAAAGCACCTAAACAGATCCACATGTGTCAGAAAGCTAACTTCAATAGCAATCTGTTCTCTGAGTTAAGAAGAGTTTTGGTGTAGAGAAGATGCACACTTCACTTCACCAATCTGATGGCTTAGTATAGTTTAATATAGACTGTCAAGCATATGCTTGCTAAGTTTATTAATTCTGAATTAATTGACTTAGACAAATTTAACATATAATGATGGAATATCATGTATTTCAGCATAGCTAAACAAGTACATTTGTTAATTTGCTCATGTTTTGGTGGAAAGTCTTGCTTTTTTGTAGACATGATGTATGGTCCTTCCACTACAGCAGATGTTGCATAATGTACACAAGAATATTTGTAGTTAAGGTCTACATTAGCTGATGCACACAAGTTTGCATGTTAATAGCATCATAGCACAGCTGGTGCCAGGAGATGTAATTCATAATGCATATACAATTTGTACAAATGACAAATAATCAGTTATTGGATGGTATTTAATGTATAATTTGCAATAAACTGTACAAGTGCAGCTCAGTTACTTAAGAGCTAGTTATCTTTTTCTTCAGTTGGTTAGAGTATTCTATTCTTCAGTGTTCACTTAAACCTCCAAGTTTCTATACATACTATGGAGAGTTGTATTTTACCCAAGAAGAGACCCTAGGGTTCTAACAACCATGAGGAAAAGATCAGAGACAACTATCATAAAGATAACCCTGCAGAAAGGACCCTCCTACTGTTCTTGTAAACCTCTCCTTGTGATCCTGGGGCTTGAACATTGAACCAACTAGGTCACCAGTCTAGCCAAAGCTTCGTATACATAAAGAATGTGACACTAAAAATCTAATGGTACTAGGTAGTTGTTTTGTATCTCCATGTATATATTTGCCTGCATATCAGAATACAGTATATGTATGTAATTATGTCTATAAGGTATTTTCTTACATAGGATTTTGTGTTATTGTATGTGTGATTGTTTGAAAATATGTATGTACATTTAGACACCATGTATTAGTTTTCTTTTACCATGAGAGTTCACTTTTGTATTTGAGTTTTGGGTATTTTCATCTTTGATTTGCTAGTGAAGGAACTGTTTTAATGTTTACATATTTTATAGAGGAGCTCATTCTATACTCCTTGATATGTTTTGTTTCTGTTTATCGTTGTTTTGTTCTAATCAAGTCATGTCAGACCCATGACTATTCCAATTATTGGGGTACCCTTTGATTCATCTATTATAATTCTCCGGGTTTCACTGTTCTCTGCCATTTTCACATATTCTATCACTGAGGTCTTAATCCATTCCTTTATGTTCTTTATCTTCCTCTTTTGCATTTCCTTTCCACAGCTCCATGCAAGATAATATTCACATTAATGTTTGGTTTTCTCATCACATGACCAAACTACTG